CTGGTAAACTTGCAAGATTCGTTTTTCTCACCATGCACATGTATAAATCACACTAGACTGTTTCTCTGTATCATATAATATATGTGGGTATATGCATATTTATTTATTTATAGTCATGTTTATGTAGTGTAAATTGTACATGCAGACCCCTTTGAGAGTTGTATGCAATGAAATTTCATTTTAATGTATGCCGATTAGTGTACATTCAAAGTGACAATAAAGTTATTCTGAGTCTAAGTCTATATCTCCTCCTTAAAAGCTCTCAGCTGGAAAGTTTTAGATCAGTGGACTCAAAGGGGTTTGTCTCGTCTCCGATTTTAATCCAGCCACTCTTGCAACCGACAGTGGTGGTCATAAGCATGGATGAAAGCACCTAGTGTCACATTTTCCCTGTCGTAATTCACAGGAGCAGTAAAAAGCAGCCGAAGAACAGTGGTGTGGCCCCTGGAAATTCTTTGGAAGCTTTTAAATATTTTTGTCTACGGTTTTATAATTAAGTTTTCCTTGTGTAGTTTCTCATCATAACAATCCCTCAAAGTGTCATGCAAATTGCAAGGCATATGCACGCAAAGCCATGTCCTGAAATACATGCTTTTTTCCCCTAGGATGTCCTAAAAAAAAAACCTTAGTACCAGCAATTTATTTCATTTCTGGTTTGATCAGAGAGGGGTTGAGATTTTTTTTTTTAAATTCTTTAGGGAGAGAGGTCTATTGCTTCTTCAAGAAGTCATAGTTGAACCCTTTCTGGACAAGGTTCTAGAGAAGGCGGTGGGCCTACAGTTGATGAATGTTCTGGATGATGCGTGTCTTTTCCCCTCTCCACCCTGGGTAGACTAGGGCTAGAGAAGGCAGTGAGCCCCCTCCTCTGCTTCTGCTCCCCCCCCCATGGCCTCTGCTCCTTCCTTTTCAGTTGGGAAGGGGACCAAGAAGGGGCACACTCTCCTGAGCAACAAGGAGCGGTCCAGAGCTGGCAAAGGAGTGGGTGGATGGGTGGGCTTAAGAGCCAATCTGAGTGTGTGCCTGCTTGAGAGTTTTTCTGGCTGGCCTATGACACCCCCTTCCCCCTTTGGTTTAATGCAGGGATGGGCTACTACTGGTTCGCCCCAGCTCAGGCGAACCCGTAGTAATTTTATGGCCAGTTCGACAAACCGACAAATCCCACCCCTGCCTGGCCCCACCCGCCCCTCCACATCCCTCAAGTCCCCGCGTGGCCCATTTTGGATCCCAGGTAAATACAGAGCCCATATGGAGACTTGGGGAGGGCGAAAAACAGGCACCCCACAGGCTCCAGAAGGCTGGAAACAGGCCCATTTCTGGCCTCCAGAGGGCCTCTGGAGCCCGGGGAGGCCATTTTCACTCTAAAAGAGCCTCCGGAGCCCGGGGATGGTGAAAATCCCCCCCCCGCCATGGTGCAGGAGGCCGACTAGGCCACGCCCACCCAGCAACTGAGCAGAGAACCCGTTGCTAAAATGTTTGAAGCCCCCCACTGGTTTAATGTTGTAAAATTTGAAAATTTCAGTTTTGAGTGGCCTCAGATGCCACTTTCTTTTCCAAGTGGCTCTTGGCAGAGGCAGATTCCTGGAGCTGGAGCTGTTCTGCCCTTTGATGGTTTGGTTATGTAGATCAGGGGTCTCCAACCTTGGCAACTTTAAGACTTGTGGACTTCAACTCCCAGAGTTCCTCAGCCAGCAAAGCTCTTTTTTTTTTTTTTGCCAAGGTTGGAGACACCTGATGTAAAGGCCTCCTCTGTCCTGTTCGCAGGAGGACATAACTTTTTAATAAAATTTACATAATGTAAAAAAAAGAGGGTATCCACATCGCCCATCAATTCATATCTTTGTTGTTGTATTGGTTCAGTGGGAAGCCTACTATGAAAAAAGCAGCTGGTTTCCTTTTTCAAAAAACGTGAGTCTTCTTATGCAAAGTCAAGACGAATTGTGGAATGTCGAAGCAAAATGCAAATTGCATTTATTCTTCTGTTGTTCTGCACTCATGATTTTCTTTTAAAACAACCTTGACGTTTTAAACTATTTTTTTCTTGGTAGTTAAACCTAGGTTTGGAATGGAAAGTGTGGAAGAAGAAGGAACTTAAAGAGGCAACTGGAAATGGTCGAAGGAGTAAATATATTGTAGTCCTCAACTTACGATCACAATTCAGCCCAAAATTTCTGCTGCTAAGCGAGACATTTGCTGAGTGAATTTTGCCCCATTTTACAACCTTTCTTGCCACAGTTGCTAAGTGAATCACTGCAGTTAAGTTGGTAACACAGTTGTTAAGTGAATCTGGCTTCCCCCGTTGACTTTGCTTGTCTGAAGGTCGCAAAAGGGGATCACATGACCCCAGGACTCTGCAACCATCATAAATAGGAACCAGTTGTCTAGTGTTCGAATTCTGATCATGTGACCACGGGGATGCTATATTGGTCATAAGTATGAAAAACAGTTGTAAGTCACTTTTTAGGGCTATTGTAACTTTGAATGGCCACTAAATGAATGGTTGCAAGTTAAAGACTACCAGAAGTGTGTTTCTTTGCTAGAGACAAATGGAAAACTGGAACCTGACGTTCTTTCTGATCTGACTTTTATTTAGTCTCATTGTACAATAAATATAGACGAGCCTTTAGTTTTAGGTTTTGTTTTAGTTTACTTTATTGTCATTGTACCTCGTACAATGAAATCAAACACCATCCTCAGTGCACATCATGACCATGAAAATAAACACAAACACACATCCTTCACCCTCCACACATTGAACTGAAAAGCCCTGACACCACACCAACGCTGCACTATACAGCAGAATTCAAAAGAGCTACTGCCCTGGGGTAGAAGCTGTTTTTCAGCCTATTTGTCCTTGTTTTTATTATTCTGTACCATCTACCAGATGGTAATATTTCAAAAAAAAAGGGGTGCCCAGGATGAGATGGATCTTTGAGAATGTTTTGAACTTTCTTAAGACAGTGGGAGCTATACAGTTCTTCCAAAGAGGGAAGAGGGCAACCCATGATCTTCTGTGCAATGACGTTAACCCTCTGGAGCGCTTTCCTATCTGCCCCTGTGCAACTGGCAAACCATCCACAGGTGCAGTAGTTTAAGATGCTCTCTCTGGTGCAGCGTAGAAGGTCACCAGCAGTTTTTCATCCAGTTGTTGTTTCCTGAGAAGTCTCAGGTAGTATAATCTCTGCTGGGCCCTTTTGACCAGGGCTGCAAGGTGAGCACCCCAAGTCAGGTCCTCTTTTATGGTAACACCCAGAAACTTAAAACTGGCCACTTGCTCCATTCGGTCTCCATTGATAAACCTCCAAGGGCGGGTTGTCTGATCTGTTCCTTCTATAATCCACTATAAGATCCTTGGTCTTACTGGTGTTGAGAACCAAGTTATTGTCTTCAATGAATAAGCAACCAATTCCTGCTCCAAAGATGCATGCAAATTGTTACTTTTTCCTCTTTTCTCATCTGGATTGGCACCATATTGTAAGGAAATTGGGAATATTAATCCTGATCCTTTGGAGCAGTTATACAATCTGGAGAAATATTCTGAACCAAAGTACAAAACTACCATTTTTTAAAATCCACTCTGACATCACAAGTCTAAAACTATCATGTACTCTACTTTCAATTATCATGTACTCTATACTGACTTTCAATTTGAGTTAAATGTGTTTACATGGAAATGATCCAACAAGAACATGTTTGCTTTCTAATCATGTACTTTGCAACAAGAAATACAGTTAATTTTGATTAAATGTCTGTTCCTACCAGATTTCATCCCAAAATTGTAGTTTCTGTCTCTGGTGTTATGTTTTCATGCTAGTAAAGAACAAATTTTTAGCAATTGTATTTGGCAGTAACTTCTGTCTGTAGTTTAACTTGTTAGTCAGAGTGCTTTGCAGTGCCAGAAATACAGTATTTATATACTGCAGGTAATTCTTGACTTACAACCACAATCAGGAGAACCAGAATGTTGGTTGCTAAGAAAGGTCGTTGTTAATTTAATCACATCCGATTTTTGGCCTTTTTTTTGCTACAGTTGTTAAGTGAATTATAGATAAATTCTCTATTTATGACCAGAATTAGGACCAGAATTTCCACGGTTAAACAAGGCAGAAGTGAGCCACACCCTATTTTATGACCTTTTCTGGTTGTTAAGCAAATCATTGCAGCTGTTAAGTGAATCATTAGGTGAATCTGGCTTCCCCATTGTCCCAAAGGTGCTTTTCCAGGAGGCAATTGGACTTTCTTGTCTTTTTTCTTTCCCTTCTCATCCAAGAAGCTTCTTCAGCTCTGACTGGATGGTGGGGAATGGAAGGATTTTGTTTTTTTTCCTAGCAGACAGCTGGTCATTTGCATCCTTTTAGAGGGTCGTTGAGGCCAC